GTTAAGACTGTAAATACTACAACAGACAAGACGGTATATAACAGTGGTATGTACATATGGCTTTGGCATTAAGTACCAGACCGATAATAGGGTGAGATAAAGTTATGGGCAGGTTAACGAAATCTTAGTCGAGGTGATAACTGAGTTTTTGTTCTTCTGACGAAAAAACGATGGAAGTTATTAAGAACAAATTTTTAAGTGGCGGCCATGAGGTCTTCTTCTACGCGCAAAGACTCATGGGATCACTTGCCACAGGAAACCCAAACTATTGTGATCGCACGACTTTATAGCTTAAATTGATTCCGATACAGGAGATTCGAGATAGTGTAAGAACAAACAATAATAGCAATAACTGAAAACCAACTACCATGTATATAAATTATTTATTTGTACTTATTTTTCATTTATATTTATTATTTTTCTCACAACAGTCACAATTGTACTTGGAGTCATTATCACAATTATTGTTCTCTCTCTTGATTTCAATTCATTTCAGTTTATTTGGTCAAGAAAGAAAGAAAAAATAAAATTGTAAGTGCGTGTTACTTAAACTGTTAGTGAGCGTTAGTGTTGGGACCAATAACTCGTCTTTACGATTTAAGCTAAAAATTACTTAATTAATCAATTAACTTTATTTATAAAGAATTACACTTGACAGAAATTAAGCTAATAAGCTCGTGGTCCTCTTTCAACGTCTCTAATTAATTAGGGACGGAACCACCGTTATCGTGGTCATCATCCGAGCCAGGTTAAGSTCTAACCATTTGGAGATGTAATTACAAAGGCATCACCTCAGACCTAAGACCCTGAGCCTTAGTATGTTAAGCCCCTGGATTTGAGACCCTAAGGTATGAGTTATTTTTTAAGTTATATTTTATAAGTTTTTTTTTTTCATTCTCATTTGGCGTTTTTATTTTATTTCATCTTCTTCTTTTTCTTCCTCTCTATTTTCTCACTCGCTATATGTTTTTGGTTATTAACATTACAATTTGTTGTCATTTCAGGTAGAACTAGAAAACAAAACCAACCCAACCAGAGGTAAACGACACTTAGTTGCATGCAAATATATATAACTCACTTTGTAAAATATATATATATTGTATTATTGTTCCTTCATTGGTGTATTTTCAGAACAACTACCAACAAAGCTGCCAACGAGGAGATCTACGATGTGAGTGATGATAATTCTATATTGTTATCAACTGCGTGCATTGTTTCTCAAAATTGTAAAACCTTTTTTTTTTTTTTACGTAAGAACGAACTTGAGATGGACGAAAATGTGGTATCCGCTGTTACAACATCACTTGCACAGCCGCCTGCCAACACTGGACCGGAATATGAAACCATACCACTGCCAAATGAGATTGCAAGGCCTCA